AGTTGCATGATCTTGGCTCACTGCAAGCTCCGCATCCCAGGTTCAAGCAATTCTGGTGTCTCAGCCTCCCGAGTAGCTGGGATTACGGGCAGGCACCGCCACATGTGGCCAAAAAAAACCTTTTTTAATTAGCTGAACATGCTGGCACACGCCTGTAGTGCCGGCTACTCACGAGGCTGCGATGGGAGGATCCCTTGAGCTCAGGAGGTTGAGACTGCAGTGAGCTGTATTTCCACCAGTGCACTCGGTCTGGGTGACACAGTGAGAGCCTGTCAAGAAAGAGAAGGAAGACAGGAAGGACAGAAGGACGGAACGAAGGAATGGAGGAAATGGAGGAGAAAGAGAAGGAGAAAAGAAAGAAAGATAATCTGAGAAGTGTGTTATAAACATGTAAGAGTTGGGTGTGGTGGCACATGTCTATAATCCCAGCTACAGGGAGCTTGAAGCAGGAGGATCATTTGGGCCCAGGAAGAGTTCAGTCCAGCCTGGATAAAATAGTGAGACCCCATATCTTTTTTTAAAGCATATATAATAGGATGCTATCTGCTGCAGGTTTGTTTGTTTTTTGTTTTGTTTTGTTTTGTTTTTTGAGATGGAGTCTCGTTCTGTCGCCGAGGCTGGAGTGCAGTGGTGCGATCTCGGCTCACTGCAACCTCTGCCTCCTGGGTTCAAGCGATTCTCCTGCTTCAGCCTCCCAAGTAACTGGGACTATAGGCACCTGCCACCACACCCGGCTACTTTTTTGGATTTTTAGTAGAGATGGGGTTTCCATCATGTTAGCCAGGATGGTCACGATCTCCAGACCTCATGATCCACCCCGCCTCAGCCTCCCAAAATGCTGGGATTACAGGCATGAGCCACCGCGCCCGGCCTGCTGCAGTTTTTTATAGCCCAGATATGAAAAAATAATCTAATATGTAAAAAATAAAGAATTGGTTCAACTCTTGACATACACCCATGAAATACAGAACCACACAGACATTATCATCAGGTTGCGGGAAAGTAGCAATGTGGACGAATCTCAAAAGTAATTCCTTAAGGCCAGGCAAGGTGGCTCACGCCTGTAATCCCAGCACTTTGGGAGGCCGAGGTGGGCAGATCACCTGAGGTCAGGAGTTCGAGATGAGCCTGGCCAACGTGGTGAAACCTCATCTCCACTAAAAAATACAAAAATTAGATGGGTGTGGTGGTGGGTGCCTGTAGTCCCAGCTACTTGGGAGGCTGAGGCTGGAGAATCGCTTGAACCCGGGAGATAGAGGTTGCAGTGAGCTGAGATCGCGCCACTGCACTCCAGTCTGGGGGACAAAGACACTCTGTCTAAAAAAAAAAAGTATTTCCTTGAGTGAAAGATGCCAGGGGCAAAAGTCCTCTCACTGTTTGTTTCCACTGTTTCCATTTCTATGAAGTGTACGAACAGACAGCAGTAACTCACAGCGATAGGTCAGAGGGTGAGGACGGGGCACCAGGGAACTTCCTGGGGTAATAAAGTTTCAAGGTCTCACAATGGTGGTGATAAAACTATGTATGTGGTTGTCAAAACCCATCTACTGGCTGGGTGCGGTGGCTCACGCCTGTAATCCCAGCACTTTGGGAGAACGAGGTGGGAGAATCACTTGAAGTCAGGAATTCGAGACCATCCTGGCCAACGTGGCCAAACCCATCTCTACTAAAAATACAAAAATTAGCCGGGCATGGTAGTGGCTGGCTGTAATTCCAGCTACTTGGGAGGCTGAAGCAGGAGAATCACTTGAACCTGGGAGATGGAGATTGCAGTGAGCTGAGATTGCACCACTGCCCTCCAGCCTGGGTGAGAAGAAGGAGACTCCGTAAAAAACAAAAAACAAAAAAAATCTACTTGAAATAATGGGTGCCAAGGGCTGGGGAGGGGGTTGGGAAGTTGGTGTCTAATGAGGACAGAGTAGAATTCCAGTTTTGCAAGAGTAAAACTCCAGAGATGGGTAGGGGTGAAGGTTACACACGAAGTGAATGTACTTAATGCACCAAATTCACCTTAAGATAGTTCATATGGTACATCGTATGTTACTACATGCTATTGTATTTTACCACTATAAAAAATAATAAGGTTTTTAAAGAAATAACTGGAGAGAAAGCCTACTTGAACAGTTGGGATGGGCATTTTATTGAGTTAGCTATGCCTTGACTTAAAAAAGGTTGGGAAAATAGTGGCATGGAGGTTTGCCACACATAATTAGTTGCAACAATTATATGCACATTAGCGAGAAAAGTGAACCCCGCTGTTCCTTCTGCACAACAAGGATGCTTTAAGAAACGACCTTGGACATCCTCCCTGCGGCAAGACGAGCTTCAGGCGGCAGAGCCTGCGCCGCGGCCTGCGGACGGCAGAGGGCGCGCGCGAACCGCCGGGCCGGCCCCTCTCGGCCTCCACCTGCCCTGCGCGGAGCGCGCGTCCAGCCCCAGGCTGCTGGACGCCGCCAGACCCTTGCCGCTGCCTTGGAGCCTGCCTGGCCCCTCGCAGGATCCTCCCCAGCCCCAGAGACCCCCGAGGCGGCGTCTACAGGCCCGGGCCGGGACTGACACGGCAGCCCCCTCCCTGGGTCGCGCCTCCCACCCCAGTCCACACCTGTGCCAGGAGGCGGTGCGGCCGCCGAGCTGAGCTGACCTGGTCGGACACCCAGGCCCCTGCGCCCACCGCCCGGGCCGGCACCTGCTGGGTGTAAAGGCAACGTGGAACCAAGCAGCGGGGCTGCAGAAAAGCCACCGTCCTCTCTGGGGTGCCACCTCCCTAGCCCTCCACCCTGGTTGGGGGCAGAACCGAACGCTCTCAGTGCTTATTTGCATGAAAATGACCACGAGGATTATAACAATCGCCGCCGAGGGCACTCCGCTCCCCAGGGACAGTCCAGGCCCTGCAGGGGAAGCTGTATTCCCCTCCAAACCATCCCCTAACAGCCTCCAGGAAGGGCTCAAGGTCGCTGCCTGCCACCTGCTCCAGCCTGGCCAGTAGCTGCCCAGGGTATAACCAGAGCTCTTAGGGGACAATGGGCACTCCCAGGCCACAGGCAGATGCTGGCCACATCCCACCTGGGCAGAAGACACGCCCGTCCTTTTCCCATCCGGCTCACCTGTGCCTGGCAGGGGGACAAGCCAGGTGAGGCTTCTCCCCAGGAGACAGCCCCTCTATCTAATGGCCAACAGCTGCCACGCCTGCGGATCCCAGGCCCTTCCAGGCCCGTGTGCCTCCTCAAGGACCTCCTTTGCCCCCTCCGGGTCTCAGCCTGAATCCTCCTGCCCCTCCCAGGGCCAAGCCTCCGCCACTTTTCAAACCCAGCAAGGCTGCATCCCGCAGCCTTACTCACCTGGCCCCGCATCCGGGTCTGGCACCTCCAGCCTCAGGATCCCCCTCCAGCCAGGGCCTCCCTTCTCGCAGGGCCCTCCCGCTTTGGGGCGCAGTCCCAACCCCAACAACCCCTAGGCTCCCAGGGCTTCCTTCCGGGACAGCCCCACTCCTGCCAAGGGGTTCGTTTGTGCTGTGTGCCAGCTCTGTGCCAGGAACGCACTCCACCGCCACCCCATCCCATATGGGCCACTGCCGCTCCCCTCAGGCTGGCCAGGGAGGGAAGCTGCAAGCGCTTATTAATCGCCAACTGTGTACTCAGCTCTGAGGCTGGCAGGAAGACTGAGTAAGGGGGAGCCCCGAACCCCGCTCAGCACCCCCTGTTGCCCACAGTCCTCCCCACCCCCAGCCATCACCATTCGCACCCTGAGCTCCGGGGTCCTGGCGCCGACTGAGGGTTCTGCGGTCGTTGCGCCGGTTTCATTTTCTGTGGCCCTTCATTCAACCAGCGACCGAAGCCCCCTTCAGAGCCCCAGGGTGACCCTGGGGGGTCCAGGCTGGTTGGGGTATCGGGGTCAGAAGGTGGATCCCCCACGCTCCCTGTCCACCAGGCAGCGGGGAGGAGGCCTTTTAGAAATGCCTGGGGTGTCTGGTGATACCCCTACCAAAAAAATCATTACCTTCAAAGACTCCCAGGCTCCTGGGCAGGGGTCTTTGTCCCCTTCCTCCGGAACAGCGAGGCCTCCCCGCCCTCCCCCTGCAGCGCGAGTCTGACCCCCTTGCTCCCGCCCAACACCTGCCCAAGGTGCAATTACCCGTGCGTTCTTCCTGCCACTGACTCGCCGCGTCCCGCCGCACGCGCGGAGGTGTTCCCACAGCTGTCGGCGGAGGACGGCCCCTCAACAACCCGCACGGGGGTCGTCGGGGCGGCTTTCCACGGAAGCGGGAGGGCGGGGGTCGTGGGAGCGGCGGCGTCCTGGGGAGCCCGTCCCCGGAGTTCGCGGATGTGTGACCCGAGGCAGCCGGCTCGCCTCTGAGGGTCCCCGGTCCGCCCAGGTGCAGGGGGCTCCGGCTCCGTCCTGCGGGGGTCGCGGCGGGGCGAGCGCAGCCGCTGCAGGTAAAACGCCGCGCCCGGGTCTGGGGAGGGCTCCCCCGCGGCGGCCCCGCGCCAACAAAGGCCGGGCGAAGTGGGGAGCGGCGCCGGCGCCTGCCCGGGCCGGGGGGAAGGACGTCGCGCCCGGGGTCGCTCGGCTGGACCGTCCGGGGTCTGTGCGACGCGGCTGGGGGCCCGGGTGACGCGGAGCGCGGGGCCGGGAGGGCTTCCTGGAGGCGGGGTCCCGGACGCCGCGTGGTCCCTTTAAGAGCCGGTCCCGGGGTGAGGACGGAAGGCGGCGGCAGCGCGACCCACCCGCACCCTGCACCCCGCCCCCCCGCGGCCACCGCCTCGGCTTCACCCTGAGCCCGGGCTCCGCTGACGTCACCTGCCCCCGAGCCGCGCGAGCTGATTGGCTGCAGGTGACGTCAGGGGCTTTTTTCGCTCGGCATGACCTCATCCCCGCCGGCGGCCCCGCCCTCCGCCCCGGGCCTGTCACTCGCGGCCGAGCGCGGCGGCCGAGCCGGCTCCCCCCAACACCGCCCCGCCGGACGCCGGACGCCCGAGCCCGAGCCCGAGCCCGAGCCGCGCCGGAACCGCCCGGCCGCGCCCGCCGAGTCGCGGGGCTGGGATGCGCGCCGCGAGCGCACGTGCCCGCCCGCAGTGCGCGCGCCCCGGCCCGAGCGAGCGCTCCCGGGGCTGGGATGCGCGCCGCGAGCGCGCGTGCCTGCCCGGGCAGTGCGCGCGCCCCGGCCCGAGCGAGCGCTCCTCGGGCGGCGTTGGCGGCGGCGACGGCGGCGACGGCGACGCGGCCCGCGCGCTCCCCCGGCCCCTGCCCCGGCTGCGCGGGCCCCCGCCGGGCCCATGGACGGCGCAGCCGAGCGGGCGCCCTGAGCGCGGCGCGGGTCCCCGGAGCGCCCCCGAGGCGAGCGCGAGCGAGGTGAGCGGAGGCGCCGGCGGGGCGGGGGCGGGGGCAGGCGCCGGGGACTGGGTTCACCGGCCCGGGCCGGGGGGCGGAGGGCGCAGCGTCGGGGGCGCTGGGGCAGCGGCACCCGGCGGGCGCCCGGGAGGAGGAGGCGGCCCCGGAGTGAGCGGCCCCGGCCGGCCAGGACGCCCGGGACAGGGAGGCCCCTTCCGCGCCTTCCGCAGCGCCCGGCGGACCCGGGCCCAGCCCACGCCCGCCCGCCGCGTTGCCGTCCTTCTCCACGCAGCTCCTTCTTTGGGTGTGGAACGGGGGGAACAAAAATCCGGGACCCACCAGGGCCACCTGAGATCCAGCGCGGATCTGCGCGAGCCCCCGACGTCCCGAACGGCACCCCCGCGGGGGCCAGAACCGGAGCAGGCGGACCCTGGCCCGGAGCCGGTCCGGGAGGTGTGGAGCCTCGGCCGTGGGAGGGACGCGACGGCCTCTGGCGTGGGACACCCGAGAAGGGGCCGTCCCCTGTCGCAGAGGAGGGCTGCAGATCCATACCCCCAAATGTCCAGGCCGCCCCGCACCCCCATCCCGGGGTGCCCAGCCGGCCCTTGAGGGATAAAGCCCCTGCGCCCTTCCGCCTGCTGCAGAGGCAGCCGCGGCGCTGGGGGAGGGGCTGGCACAGCCAGGCTGCTGCAGCCACCTCGCTAGGCCCAGCTGCCCAGCCTGGGATGCGGAGCAGACCAGGTGGGGGTACCTAACAGTCTGGCTTGGAGGGGAGGGGGCAACAATAGGCCCAGCCCCAACAGGGTCACCCCTTCTGGGAGAATCTGCTTCCGTCTCCCTGCTCCGGGGTGTGTGTACGGGCCTCTGCTAAGGGGAATAGGGGCTCTGTGCTGCAGTGATGGGGGGCGGGGACGTTGTGGGATGGAGGAGAGGGTGGCAGGATGTAGTGTGGCTCCGCAGTGCTCTTGCTATGCAGCTTGGGGTGGGGGTGGGGTGCTGCAGGCCAGGGAAGCTCCTTTTGTGCCCCTGCGGGGGTTCCGAGGGGAGGTCCAAGCCCGGGCACTCTCCCTTGCCTCCCTTCTGGCACAGCCCACCCAGAGACACTGTTGCAGCTAGGCGGTGCAGGGGTGAATGTAGCACCCCAGGCCCCCAGCCCTCCACCAGGAGGACAGTCCCATGCATTCACTGCTAATAAGTATTGGATGCGGATGGCGGATCATATGACCCCAGCTGGAAGTTCATCCTGAAGTCTCGCTGAAATACCTCCTGCTTCAGCCAGCCTGGGGCTGCAGGAGTGTGGCTGGGCAGGTTCTATTCCCCTGGTGCCCTCTGTCTTCGGGGAGGTTTCTGGGAATAAAGTCCCATGAACAGAGGTACAGAAAGAAGCTTAGAGTCAGTCTCTGCTCCAGGACCTCTCTCTTCTCAGGCTGGGGCTGAAGTCAGGGCCTAGAGGCTGCCACTGGGAAGGTGTCTCGAAGGGCCTTTGGCTGGGGCCTGGTGAGACCTAGGTGTCACTTCTTGCAGAAGGCAAGGAAAGGGGCAGGCCCACAGCGAGAGAGGTGGTTCTGGACATGAGAACTGCACCGGCTGAGGCCCCCTCTGCTGGAGCTGCTCAGGGCAGTGAACCTTGGAAGCCCCAGGCTGGTCCTGGTGTTTAGCGTATGGCACAGTGACCAGGAGGAGGGACACAGGCCCAGTGGGAAGGGAGGGACCCTGGATATGTCCTCACGGCCCCCTGTGCCAAGCCCTCCCATCCCCTGCCCTACCCGGACCCTGTTCCTGGGATCGGAGGGAGCCCCCAGCCCTACCCCACTTTCTCCCAGGTCCACAGCTTCCCCAGGCCAGCGAAACAGAGTGCAGGCCAGCTTGGGTCCTGCACCACTAGCCCAGAGAGCTGAGGGGATGCAGGGATGAGGACATTTGGGGGAGCCCAATGAGGAAAGAGAGCTGACCTGCATGAGTGCAGGGTCCCTGCCTCCCAGAGTCGCCACCCACCAGTCTCTCCCCAACCTCCTTATTGTGACGATTTCTGCCTCCAGAGGCATCCGTGGGTGACAGTGAGCCAGACAGCTCAAAAAGCCTGCCTAGGTGTAAGGGGGAGACACAGTCCCATCCCCCCATGCTTGACAGTCCTGGCAGCTGTCTCTGAAGGTCATGAGTCCCCATTTCTAGGTGCTGAGCAGAAGGTAACGTGGCGAGGATGCTGTCAGTTGAGAGTTGGGGGTGGCCTGGGACTCCCTGGTCCCATCTGTGCTCAGGAATGTGCTGTGTAGAGGCGCTGGGAGTGGGAGTTCGTGTGTAAGGAGTCTGGAGCTGGCCCCCGGGGTACCGGAGTCCTGGGGTTCTCAGGGGATTCTGCATACAGAGAGCAAGGATGTGCGTGTATTCTAGTGTATGTCCAGCACCACGTGTGTGCACACATTCACGCGTGGGTACTTGCACGCAGGACAGGTGGGTTGCGGGTAAGGGGCACCAGCCCAGTGTGTGTGGAGTGGGTGTGCAAAGGGGTGTGTTCTGGCACACCTAGAGGGCAGTGTGCACGCAGCACCGGAGCAGAGCCAGGCGTGCTGTGTCCCAGGGGAGGGTGGCTGCCTGATGCCTCCTGGAAGGTGTGGGCCTGGGAGGAGCCTTCTTGTGACTTTGGACTTGGAAACTGCTTCCTCCTGGGCTCAAAGACCTTTGAAGAGGGTGTATGGGGCTGTGCCAGGGGGCATCCTGTCCCCAGCCCTGCCTCACACCCCCCAGCCCCTAGGCACTGGAAGAGTAGGGCCACAGGTACTCAGGAGGGCTTGACATGTGGGGCCGTGAAAGGAGAGGCGTGGGACCAACACCATTCACGTTTCCTTACCTCTGTTCCCACATGGCCAGTGCTGGCCCCACTGATCTGCACCAGGCTGTCCTTAGTGTCTCTGTTCCCCACCCCACCCAACCTGCCCCATCCCTGGCATAGCTGGGCCCCGATCCTTAGCATCTGGGGAACCAGAGGTGAGGGACATGCCCCTGGGAGCTGTAGGTCCAAGGAGACCCTGTGAGGATGCTCTCCCGGAGGCCAGCACAGCACGGAGGCTTGCTGCAGGAGGGGGCACCTGGTCAACCCTTCACAGTACAGAAGGCCTCCGAGGGGGTGGGGAGTCAGTGAGCTGCAGGGATCATGCTGGGCACAGCAGGTACTGGGAGTGGGAAGGAAGGTTAGGACCAGGTAGGGCAGAGGAGCAGAGGGGCTGAGGACTGGGCTCTGCGCTGCCGGGCACCTGCCAGGGTGGGTGGAAGAGAGCAGGGAGGGGCGCGTGCCCACTCTGCAGAGGAGCCTGCTCCATGGTGGTGGCTGCCGCAGGAGCAGCGGTTGCCTGGCACCTCTGCCGTTGCCATGACGACAGTGGAGGTGCTAACTTGCTAATGAGTCCCCTTCGGCTGCAAATAACAATACTATTGTGGGTGATAGGCCCAGCTCCAGCTCAGGGTTGCTTGGGAGACAGAGCAGGGACAGGTAAAGGCCGGGACCCATCCTCCCGTCCCTCCCGCCCCTCCAGCCCCTGCAGCTGGACTTGCTGTCCTCCCTCCCCTCCCTCTGGGTCTCAGGCCTAGCTGGCTGCACCGAGTTTCTCATGGCAGTGTCAGGACTCAAGGCTGTATGAAGCCTAGGCCCTGGCTGCAGGGAGGGCGAGGGCCTCTTCTCACATCTGCCCTCCTCCCTGCACTGGGCGGTGTTTGCTTCCGTTGTTTTCAGTGACAGAGAATCCACCCCCACTTAACGGATGAGGACATTGAGGCCGGGGCAGCTCCTCGAAGGACCCCCAGCCCAGGCGTCCTGCTACTGTGGCCTTCTCGGGGTGCTGGGCCTCTGAGCTGGGCCCTTGGGTGTCGTATGGGGCACGTGGAGCCGCTGTCTCCCCAGGACCACACATCTGGGCCCTCGCCTCTCACCACCTGTGCAAGGCTCAGGTAGAACTCAGGAAGGACAAACAGCTCGTTGAGGCTCTTCCGTAGGCAGTCAGGGACCCCCTTGGCAGGCAGAGACCCTCCACAGCAGGCAGGCAGCAGGCTCTTTTGCTGTTGAACTTGCTGGGTCTGGCCCTGGGGAGGGTTCCCCACCCTGTGGTGGAGGCTGGAGCACCAGCCCAGGAACGGCATCTGAGTGGGATCCTGAGGCCCGGCTGACCAGGTGCCACCGCAGTCCCTGGTGTCAGCTGTGGGGTCAGCTGAGGCTGCCCGTCCACAGCCGGGTGTTTCGCTGGCCTCTGGCAGCAGGATGGGTGGTGGGAATGCACAGAGGCCTGGGCCTAGTGGAGGCGGGAGCGGCCAGGCAGGGGCCAAGCTTGCAGTGTCTGGAGAAGGAGAGTGAGTGTGAGGCTAGGGCTCCTGGGCAGGTATGAGCTGGGACCTGCCCCTCAGTGTGGAGTCGGGGCTGGGCCAGGGACGAGGTCCACACCAGCCTTGCACCTGCTGCTCTGTGAACTCTCCCATTGGCCCCCGCCAGTCTAGTAGCTGACCTGGAGAGTCCAGAAATGGTGATGGCCTCTGTCCCCAGCCTGCTGTTGGCAGTGCATGGGTGTCCTCAGGGTGGCTGCCCCCAGTTCCCCCTGTGGCTGTGGGCTGGGGGTCTGAATTGCTAAGGGTCCACTGCCCACCGTAACCCGCTCTGCACAGGGCCCAGGGTGCACCCATCTCCCAGCCTTCCCTCACTCCTGAGCTGGGTGGAGTGAACTTCCTGACTGGCTGGCAGCCGTGGGGGCACAAGGGAGATGACCTTGCAGGAACACCCAGTGCCCATCTGTGTGTGACCCAGGTGTGGCCCAGGTCCCACCTTTGCCGCAAGCCTCAGTTTCCCCATAGTTGAAGCAAACTCATCGTCCTTACACTGTGTGCCTCCTAAGGGCTGGGAGTCTAAAGTGGACCCAGAGGAAGGCCAGTCTTGACAGGTGACAGGGAGATGGGGCCCGGCAGTGGGGCAGTGACAGAGGCTTGTCACCAAGCCTGCAGGAGGGGCTTCCAGAGGCTCCATCCTCAAACATCCCTACTCCCCCTGCCCACCTGGCAGTCTGCCTTTGCAGGCCATGCCAAGGGCCTGGTCCCTGCAGGGTCCCCGTCACTGACCTTCCTCCTAGGACTGCCCCACCCCTCCCATCCTGGGTCCCATCAGCCCCTGAAGGGGCTCCCTAGACCCCAGGCTCCACTGGGGGAGGGGCACTCTGTGGGTGTGACACACCCCTGCAGGAGCTGGGCACTCACCCCCAGCAGGCACGCAGCGTGCACTAAACCTCAGCCTGCAGGCCAGGAGGGCAGCAGTGGCAAAGGAGTTGTGCCTCCGTGCTGGAGCCCCTCCCGCACCCTCCTGCCATCCAGCTGCCCCCCGGGAGCCCACTCTCCAGTGGAGGCAGCCCCAAGGCCACCATGCACCAGGGGCTGGATTATCGGCTTATGGAGCTGCCCTGGAGTCAAGTCTGCAGGGATTGGATTCCCTGGGGAGTCCAGGGAGGGAGGGGCAGGTGTGAAGACAGCAAGCCCGGTGGAGGGCAGAGAGCTGGACCATGAGGGAGGGTGAGGCGCCGTCCAGACCCCTGACTTGCTGGGGGTCCTGTGGTGGAAAAGATGCAGAGGTCACAGCAGGGAGATGCCTGTGTCCCAGGGATGAGATGGAATGTTCTGGAATGCCTAAGGGTGGGTGAACCCCAGGGCCCACAGGAAGAACCCCTGGCCTCGTCCAGCCCTCAGACCCTTTCCTGTGGGGCCCATTTGCCCCCCTCTGCCTTGTTGCATCCTGCTGCTGGCCTTGTGACCTCAACGGGGTCTCACCAGAGGGAAAAGGGTCCCCACGGGCACACGTTGGGCTCAGATGTCCTGGTGGGCGCAGGTCCCAGCTCCGATCTGTCCTGGGGAGCTTCTGGGTGCCACCCCGGGAACTGCAGCGCTGCTGACCGTCCCCCTGTCCCTGCAGGTCCGGCACCATGTGCTAGGTCACTCCCAGCGCAAGGCCACACCTGGGCCGTCGGAGCAGCCCCCCCTCACTTCAGGGGTCACCCTCCCCAGCACCCATTGCCCCACCATGGCCGGGGACCGGCTCCCGAGGAAGGTTATGGACGCCAAGAAGCTGGCCAGCCTGCTGCGGGGCGGGCCTGGGGGGCCGCTGGTCATCGACAGCCGCTCCTTCGTGGAGTACAACAGCTGGCATGTGCTCAGCTCCGTCAACATCTGCTGCTCCAAGCTGGTGAAGCGGCGGCTGCAGCAGGGCAAGGTGACCATTGCGGAACTCATCCAGCCGGCTGCACGCAGCCAGGTACCCAGCCCACTGCCCGCCAGGCGTGCACCACCTCCAGGGTCCATGGCTAAGGGGCCCTCAGCTCGGGCAGCACCCCCTCCTCTGCCCTCCGGTCCAAATTCGGCTCCTTGGGGTCATAGCCGGGGGCATGTGGAGCAGCCCCCCGGCACTTGCCTCTCACCATTGCCTGTTGCCCCTGCTCAGGGCACCCCCCCACATACCCCCGCAGCACCCCTCCCTACCCTCCCTCCAGGGCCTCCTCGCTCAGCTCCTACACGGAGATGCCGGGCCCTCCCCACGCAGATAGGACTGTGTGGCCGGGGCCGGCCCGGGTTCACAGAGGGGAGCCGTGAACAGAAGAGCAAGGTGTGACCACATGGCAGTGGGAGCAGCCCAGCTGGCCTACACGGGACAGGGACAGCTGTGTGGTCCACTCCCCTTGCTGTGAGGACAGGAGGGGTGGTCAAAAGGCACACGTGAGCAGTCGGTGTCCCTGTCCCACAGCTCCCCCCAGCCCGCAGAGTATTCGGGGACCCAGAATTCTCTCTGTGGCCCCCCAGGAATATCCTTCTGGGGAAGGACAGCTCATTCCGCCCAGGACCATCAGGTGCAGCTGGGGAGGGGCCAGCGGGGCTGTTGACCTGTGAAGGTGGCGGCACCTCCTCTTTCCACTGCCTTGCAGGGGGACGAGGGAGACAAGCTCTTGGCACTGGAGGCTTTGAGAGGGGTCTGGGTGGCTGATATGCCCTGTTCGGAGCTGGGACATGGGAGGACTCAAGTGGGATGGCCACTGGCCAGGAGTCCGCCTGCCCCAAGGCCAGAAACAGCTCCCTTTGGCTTCCAACAAGGGGAATCCAGTGATTAATGACCCCCAGCGAGGACTCCAGGCAGAGTGCGATCCCATTGGCTGCCGATGACGTCACCCCAGCCTGGGGTTGGCGGCTCAGCTGGCTTAAGGGCTGAGCGTGCTTTCAGGGCGGGGGCACCAGTGCTGTCTGAGCAAAAGCCGCTCAACATCTGGGCCGGCCCTTGGCGTGGGGGAGGAGGGCAGGAGGAACCCAGCTTCCAGCTACTGCCTCCGGAATTGGTGCAGGGGCCTGGGGTCCTGCTGCAGCCCTCTGTTTCTCCGCTGGGGGTTGGGGAGAGGATAGGGTGGGGAGCAGAATTGCTGGCTGCAGAGTTAGCCCCACTGAGAGCCCACACCCAAAGGCATCTGCCTCTGGAATCCCTGAAATGGGCCGAGCTTCCCTGTCCCTCCACCGTCCCAGGAACCCAGCCAGGTCCTATACTGGGCTCCCATTGCACTCACCTGTGTCTCCTCCACACGGGCCTGGCCCATAGTACCCGTGCCCTTCACCCGTGTGCATGGCATGGGGGCACAGCTGCGCAGGGCAGGAGCTCATCCCTCCCGGTCCCCATGGCCTGTGTGGTGTGGGTGTGTGCACCTGGGCATCTGGCAGATGGAGAGTGTGTGAGGTGTGTGTCCGCACCTGCCCTCCCCTCCAGGCAGCAAGGTGACAGCTGCCTGCCTCCCATCATCTGATGCCCTTACTATTCCCTTGGGCCAGTGCGGCTGGGACAGGGCCAGGGCATTGAGAGGTGGAGGCGGCATGCTGACCTCTGCCCCATGGCCCCCAGGTGGAGGCCACAGAGCCACAGGACGTGGTGGTCTATGACCAGAGCACGCGGGACGCCAGCGTGCTGGCCGCAGACAGCTTCCTCTCCATCCTGCTGAGCAAGCTGGACGGCTGCTTCGACAGCGTGGCCATCCTCACGGGTGAGTCTGGGACCCACGCCTCCCTGAGGCACTCGCTCGGCCAGCAGTGGGGCTGGGGCCAGGGAGGCGTCTGCTGGGCACAGGGGCATCTCCATCATACATCTGTGGTCCTTTTTTTTTTTTTTTTTTTTTTTTTTTTTTTTTGAGACGGAGTCTCGCTCTGTCGCCCAGGCTGGAGTGCAGTGGCGTGATCTCAGCTCACTGCAAGCTCTGCCTCCCGGGTTTCCGCCATTCTTCTGCCTCAGCCTCGAGAGTAGCTGGGACTACAGGAGCCCGCCACCATGCCAGGCTAATTTTTTGTATTTTTAGTAGAGACGGGGTTTCACCAGGTTGGTCTCGATCTCCTGACCTCGTGATCCGCCCGCCTCGGCCTCCCAAAGTGCTGGGATTATAGGTGTGAGCCACCATGCCTGGCCACATCTGTGGTTCTTGAGGCTCCACCATCCTCTCCCCAGGACCCCCACACTTCAGGACCCACCAATGAGTCTATCCTCAACACAGAAGGAAACCTCACAGTACAGCTGGGCTCCGGAGGTGTAGGACAAGGCATGCAGGCTGGGAGCCCATCCCCCTCCCGGGGCTCCTGTCAGAAGTGGGAGGCAGACGCCCCATCCTCTGGAAACTCTGTGGAGCCCTGGGGTCCTGAGGAAGTCTCCCACCCCCAAAAGCCCAGCTAAGTGCAGGTTGCCTGGCAACAGCCTGGCATCAAGGCTGCTGCCGGGGTCCCAGCAGCCTCCCTCCAGGGATCCCTGTGGCCCAAAAGCAGCCTGGGCAACTGGCCCTAAGCCCTGGAGGCAGGGAAGCCACCTCCCTACATACTGATGCACACGCGCACACACACTCATAACTCGCATACACTCACACACACACACAATACACTTACACAGACTCACACACACACACACTCACACTCACACAATACACTCACACACATACACACATACACACAGATACACATACACACAACTCTCACATACACATACACACTCACACTCATACACATACACTCATACACATACGCATACAAACACGCACACATATACATGCACACTCATACACACTCAACTCACGTACACTCACACATACACACACATACACACATACACATACAGTCACACACACTCATACACTCACATACACATAACTCGCATACACACACAATACACTCACACATACACACACAGACTCACACATACACTCACGTACTCACACAATACAGTCACACAGATACACACACACAAACTCTCACATACACACAACTCACACACACATACACACTCACATACACTCACACTCATACACATACACATGCATACACACACGCACACTCATACACATGCACACATATACACACTCACATACACACACATACACTCAAAACACTCAACTCACGTACACTCACACACACACACACATAGTCACACAACACACTCGTACACTCACACACATACACACACGCTCACACACATTCACATACACACTCACACTCACACATACACTCTCATACTCGCACACTCACATACACTCAGTCACACACATACTCATACACTCACACACACATACACATGCATACTCATATACACACACACATACTGACACACACTCACACACACATACTCACACTCACACTCTCACACTCACACACTCAGAGGGCTCTTTCTTCCCTTGGGCTGTGACCTCTGGGCTTGGTCCCAGAGGGCTCTTTCTTCCCTTGGGCTGTGACCGAGGGTGTGTCTGTAGAATCCACTTCCTGGGGATGGCCCAGGTCCCAGAGCCGGGTGGAGCTGGCCTGTCCCAGGGACGTGCACCCTCCCCCACCCAGGTCTGGGGTCATTGTCTAGGTTCCTGCCACCTGGCCTGGGCTACCAGGGGCTGTGCCAGGCAAGCAGAGGGCATGGGGGACTGTGGGGTACAGGCGCGGTGGGGTGGGGAGTGGGCAGCCAAGCCAGGCCCTTGGCCCTGCGTCCAATGGAAGCAGGTGCCTTCAACCCAGCCTGAGGGTGGCTGTAGGCAGATGAGGGGGTAACAGCCACTTTGACCAGGCTGACCTCCCGAGATGCCATGTCCTGGGACCTTAAGGGCACCTGGAGGCTCGAGAGTGGTCCAGTGTCCTGGGCAAGAGCATTGAGGCCAGGCTCCCTCCCCACCTGTGTGTGAGTCCAGCACCCTGCACTGCTCTGTGGTCCTGGTCATGGTCAGAGGGTGTCTGTGCATCTGTACATGACGCTGGGCATCTGGTGACCAGCATCTGTCTCTGCGTGTGTGTATGAGAGCCTGTGTGTGCAAGTATGTGTGTGCATGTATGTGTGTACATGTACGTCTGTGCATGTGTGCGTGTGCATGTGTATATGCATGCATGTACATGTATGTACATGCAGGTGTCTTTGTGTATGTACTCACCTGTGCCTGTCGGGGTGAGATTTGGTTTTTGTATACATATGTGTGAACTCTCAGAACCAGAAGCCATAGAATGACGCACTCTGATCCAACCTTCATCCCCTAGGTTAAGTTTGAGGGCGGAACTGGTGGGGAGGGGAGGGGAGAGAGAGTAGTTTGGGGCTTTTTACAGCTCACCAGGTGTAACAGGACCCCTCCCAAGGGCCAGTTTGCTGCCCTAGCCAGGAATGGGAGCCAGGAGGCCCTTCTCGGAGGTTGCGAAGGGTCCCAGAGTGGCACCTCCCTACCCCCAGGCGAATCCCAGGAAAGTCCCGAGCCTGGAAGGGCCTGTCTCCCTCGAGGCCAGAGTGGGATGGTTTGCGGGGTGGGGCCCTCACCCAGCACTGGTGGGTGGGACAGCATGGCTGTGCAGGTGGATGTGGGTGTGAGTGTGGGTGTGGGCATGGGAGGGGCCGGGCCTGGGCTGGGATTTGCCAGGAGGGCACTCCCAGGGCCTGGTCATGCCCGCCCACTCTTGGGACCCTCTGAGCTGCCTTTCTGTGCTGACATCTGCCCTGCAAGGTTGTGGCCGTGTCCGCTTTTCTCCAAAAGCGCAGCTGCCAAGGAGCCCCAGGCCCCATGGTGTCGTGTGGGTTCATGGCAGCACCCAAGCCGGCCCGCGGGCTGTGCCCTCAGACTCCCTCCCTCCCTGTGGTGGGCACAGCCCCTGCTCTGGCTGGCTCTTCGAAGAACCAGGGAGAGTGGGAAAGAATATATTGGGTGGGGCAGGGGTGCTGCCCCTCACCCAGGAGAAAGGACGTTCCGGGATCCCGCAGCACAGGTGACAGAGTTCCGTGGCCCATTTGCGGGGACAGTAGAGGCCGGAACGTGAGGAACAAGCCTCTGTCCTCCCCACAACAGGGCAGGTTTGCGGGAAGCGGGAGAGAGTTGTGGGACAGGCTGTGCTGGGGTCCCAGGACTGCTGTGAACCCCACCTCCCCCTGCCACTCCTCTTCCCCCACTCCAGCTGTGCTGCTCACGATGCTGGGGGGCAAGCGGCACGGGATGGGAGAGGGGCCTGACCCTTTAAGCAGCAGCCCGCAGTCGGCCTTGGACCCTCAGCCGGGCAACTGCACTGCAAGTGGGTGCGGTGGCGGCCCCCGCCCTGGCGGGGAGTCCGGGGGTCACGGAGGTGGCGGGCAGAAGCGTGTCTGTAACTGTGGCCATAGGCGCTTGCAGGATCTCCCAGGTGGCATGGGGCGGGCACATGTCCTGGTACACATGCCTTTTTTCAAGTCTGGGATTTCATTGTGAGTAGCAGGTGAACTGCAGGCACCACCCCAGCAACCCCCGAGTCAGGGAGCAGGGATGCTGGGAAGGTGCCTTTGGAGATGCCTGGGGGTAGGGGTGCCTCCCCAGGGCCCAAAGAGTGCTGGGACCTACAAAGGGTCCACTGAACCCCAACACCCCTCACTTATTACTCACCCCCCAGAGCCTGGGTGGTTCTGACATCCCTGAAGCCTCGGTCCCTGCTAGGCCTGGCGTCCACAGTGGGGTCTGTAGGGACATCCACACTGCCTGCTCCACCTGGGGAAGTCCTGGGAAGCTTCCCGGGGAATTGCTGCCACAGCTGTCAGGTCTCTGCACCTGTCCAGAGACTTCCCTGCCTTTACCTCCTTTGGGAGAGGTGGGAGGGTTCTGATGGAATCCCCACCACCACCACCACCACCACCTCCTCTGGCCAGGCCCTGGAGAAAGCAGAGTAAGGCACAAAATCCCTGGGAGAGGCACGGGGAGGAGCAGAGGCAGCAGGTGCCAGAGGAGTCTGCAGGGAAGTGGTGCAGCCCCTCCCCCTCCCTGGGGCTGTCGTGCAGCAGGAACATCCAGGGCTCCCCCAGCTCAGAACAGTGAGTGGAAGCTACAGCGCCCAGCCCGGCCTCTGCTCAGGGGAACCTGCAAGCTGGGGTGTCGTTGGTGACAAATCACCTACCTGCTTCCCCCTGTCCAGCCAGCAGATTCCCACAGAAGGGACTGTTCCTCCAAGGCTGCTGCCTCAACCCACCCAGCCTGGAGCTTCTCCCATCTCCACAGGCCCCCAGCGTCACGCCCTTTTTAGGGACACGGGGAGCTGGCACAGCAGGCGTTCTGGTTGGGGTTTGCACACACTCCCCTATCCTCAGGAGTTATCCAGGGTGGCTGTACTCCACCCAGCAGGGGAGGACGGAGAGTGGAGGAGCCCTGGGGGCACGCGGGGCAGGCAGCGGGCACCCACTGCACATGTGGCACCAGCCTCTTCTGCAAACCAGGACAAAAAAGAGCCCTGGGGTTCCCAGGCCCTGAGCCCCCTCAGTCACTCCCCTGCCTCATACGGTAGGATAGGGCAGGCCCCAGCCCAGCTGCCTCAGGCTCTGCACAAGCAGGAGCTGGCTTGCCATGGGGCTCGTATCCTGGGAAGTGTCCCTGGGGTGGCGCTGGGCCGTGCTGGCACCACCCTCCCAAGAGCTGGCAGCCAGCAGGTGGGTACTGCCCAGTTTCTGGTCCACATTGGTGGTCACCCCAGCCAGGTCCATTCTCACCATGTGTCTTCGTGCTTATTATCTTCTTGGAGCCGCACGATGCCGTGCGGCAGGCAGGAGGAGGAAGCAGAGACCAGAGCCAAGGTGTGCACTGCCCATGGTCACTGAGTCAGACATCCAGGGATTCACACTTCAGTCTTTCCAGCTGGTGCGGGGCAGAGGATTTCCTCCCACCAGCCTACGGCCTCGGACTTGGACGTGTGTGGAAGGCAGCAGCACACGCCGGTCACATGTGCAGTGGGTGCCCACTGCCTGCCCCGCGTGCCCCCAGTGCCTAGGGCTCCTCCACTCTCCGTTCTCCCCTGCTGGGTGGAGTAGAGCCATAACCAGATGGCAAATGCCCCCAGGGCTGTGCCAGGGTGATGTCATGCCTGGGGGGGGGGGGAGGGCCTCTCAGAAGCCCTGGCCTCCTGGTCCTGGCACCTAAGCCCAGGCCTGGGGCTCCCAGCCAGCTGGAGGCAGGGAGGCATTGCATCAGCGCAGGGGAGGAGGAAGGCCCAGCCTGGCTCCAGGCCGTGGGTATGGGAGATGGGGGTGCTCACGAGGGCCTCTCCTCTGGGCTGTGTGACCCACACCCTCGGCAGGAGACTCCTGTGACCTCTGAGCCTGCCCCTGCCTGGGTCCAGCGCCTGCTGCGCTGGCCAGCCACCTCAACCCCACCTTTACCGGCATCATAGCAGCGTCCTCAGCTGGGTCAAGTCCTAATTAGCGTGAGGAGGAATGTGGGCGTAGGTGTGGGCTGTAAATGTGTGGCAGCACCCCCTCCCCCACCGCGGCCAGAGCAGGTGCGCTGCCAGAGGCTTGCTGGCTGGGCTTAGGTCTGAGCTGGGTGTGACTGATCCTCAGCAGTAGATGGGGTGACCTAGGTGGACAGGGCACCCTAGGCGGACGGGGAGGCCTAGGTGTTCTCTCAACCCACCTGACGGGCCTCCTCCTACAGGGGGCTTTGCCACCTTCTCCTCCTGCTTCCCCGGCCTCTGCGAGGGCAAGCCTGCTGCCCTGCTACCCATGAGCCTCTCCCAGCCCTGCCTGCCCGTGCCCAGCGTGGGCCTGACCCGCATCCTGCCTCACCTCTACCTGGGCTCGCAGAAAGACGTGCTGAACAAGGTGTGTGTGCAGTGGAGTTGGGGGGGTGGTCAATGGGAAAGGGGCAGGAGCTCCAGAGGCAGCTTGGCAGCAGAGTGGGGGATGAGGGAGGAAAGGAACTGAAAGCAGTGGATGAGCTGGGTGTGGGAGAAGCATGGGGGGGCCCAGCAGAACCCCAGGTTCCCCACCTCTGCCCCCGGCAGGACCACAGCAGGGCTTGGGGGAGGACCACAGCAGGGCTTGGGGGAGGAGCGGGAAGCTGGCATGCCAAGCTTCGGATGTCACTGGGCCCCCGTCCAACTCTGAAAGAATCCCGTGTTTTAAAAATGGTGACGAGGGAAAAGGGTAAAAGCCACCACCCAGGCAACCATAAAATTCCTAGGAGCCCACCACCGGCCATGGGTGGGGCCTGCAGATGGAGGCCAGCCATGCCCCCACCCCCCACATAGGCCCAGGGTGCCAGGGTGGACCAGAGAGGCCTCCTGGGCCCGCCCCTGGATACACTGGGATCCGGGACAGGTTCCAAGACTCCCAGGACCACCCCAGGATTCTAAAGGCCCTCCTGACGGCAGGGCAGGAAAAGCCTCCGCCTTCACTCCCACCCCAAGCTTCTCCCACCCCTTTCCAACCCGTCCTCCCGCTCCTCCAGGATCTGATGACGCAGAATGGAATAAGCTACGTCCTCAACGCCAGCAACTCCTGCCCCAAGCCTGACTTCATCTGCGAGAGCCGCTTCATGAGGGTCCCCATCAATGACAACTACTGTGAAAAACTGCTGCCCTGGCTGGACAAGTCCATCGAGTTCATCGGTGAGTCTGCCGCGGGCGGAGGGCGGGGGCCTGGCTAGAGGAAGGCTAGAGCTGGGCGTGGCCACAGGCACAGGAGGGGTCCCGGGGAAGTAGCCTGAGCTGTTGGCAGTCGGGCAGGTGGGGTCCCCTCCCTGGGCCAGGGAGACGCTGTGCAGGCTTAGCCCTCACCTGGCCCCCATGGCCCACCTGCTCAGATAAAGCCAAGCTCTCCAGCTGCCAAGTCATCGTCCACTGTCTGGCCGGCATCTCCCGTTCTGCCACTATCGCCATCGCCTACATCATGAAGACCATGGGCATGTCCTCCGACGACGCCTACAGGTACCGCCTTCCCCAGTCACGCACTTGTGACTCACGGCGTCACCTCCCTTCCCTCGGCTACCCAGTTTCACCAGAATGGCCCCACCATCCAGGACCCCTGGCAAGGGAGGAGGGCCTGAGACCAGCCTGGCGCACATGAGCTCATGGGTGCCCAGCAGGTGGCGTCAGGTGGGCAGCCTGGCCCTGGCGGGCGCCTGGGACTAAACCTCTCTCCCCCCACCCCACGCAGGTTCGTGAAGGACAGGCGCCCATCCATCTCGCCCAACTTCAACTTCCTGGGCCAGCTGCTGGAGTACGAGCGCAGCCTGAAGCTGCTGGCCGCCCTGCAGAGCGACGCGGGCACCCCCTCAGGGACGCCGGAGCCTCCGCCCAGCCCTGCTGCCGGGGCCCCACTGCCACGGCTGCCACCACCTACCTCAGAGAGCGCTGCCACCGGGAATGCGGCTGCCAGGGAGGGCGGCCTGAGCACGGGCGGGGAGCCTCCCGCGCCCCCCACGCCCCCCACGCCCCCGGCCACCAGCGCGCTGCAGCAGGGTCTGCGGGGCCTGCACCTCTCCTCGGACCGCCTGCAGGACACCAACCGCCTCAAGCGCTCCTTCTCGCTGGACATCAAGTCGGCCTACGCCCCCAGCAGGCGGCCTGACGGCCCCGGGCCCCCCGACCCCGGCGAGGCCCCGAAACTCTGCAAGCTGGACAGCCCATCGGGGACCGCGCTGGGCCTGCCCTCTCCCAGCCCGGACAGCCCGGACTCCGCACCCGAGGCGCGCCCACGGCCTCGCCGGCGACCGCGGCCCCCCGCCGGCTCCCCCGCACGCTCCCCCGCGCACAGCCTCGGCCTGAACTTTGGCGACGCGGCCCGGCAGACTCCGCGGCACGGCCTCTCCGCCCTGTCGGCGCCCGGGCTGCCCGGTCCTGGCCAGCCAGCCGGCCCTGGGGCTTGGGCACCGCCGCTCGACTCCCCGGGCACGCCGTCGCCCGACGGGCCCTGGTGCTTCAGCCCCGAGGGCGCGCAGGGGGCGGGCGGGGTGCTGTTTGCGCCCTTCGGCCGGGTGGGCGCCCCGGGACCGGGCGGCGGCAGCAGCGACCTGCGGCACCGGGAGGCAGCGAGGGCTGAGCCCCGGGACGCGCGGACCGGCTGGCCGGACGAGCCGGCCCCGGAGACGCAGTTCAAGCGCCGCAGCTGCCAGATGGAGTTCGAGGAGGGCATGGTGGAGGGGCGTGCGCGCGGCGAGGAGCTGGCCGCCCTGGGCAAGCAGGCGAGCTTCTCGGGCAGCGTGGAGGTCATCGAGGTGTCCTGACCCCTCCGCTGCCCTCCACTCCGCCCCCCGCAGCCGGGCCCGTTATAAATATATATTATATATAATGCAAAGAAAGGTAAATGGTTTTACTGGGATTTTTATCGAGAAGTAAATATTTCGATTTTTTATTTATTTAAGCTGTTCATTCTGGCAATGATTTGGCAACAGTGCGGGTGGTCCTCGAGCTCTATTTTTACTGTCTGGTATTTAAACTGAAACACACGTTTCTAAGCAATACGAGGCCACCTTCAGTCGCAAGCTGGGTGCCAGGCCTGGGGCCCTTCCCAGTTCCCCCGCCCCAGGAAACTCTGCTGACCTTTGCAAAAGCTGCCAAGCTTTCGTGCACTTTTTACATAAGAAAAAGGTGAAAAAAAGGAAAAAAAAAAAAAAAAACTTCTTTGCCACAAACTGAGCCGCAGAACCTCCCTTCTTCCCCCACCCACCTCTCCTGCTCTCTCCCTTCTCTGCGCCAGCCTAGGGCTCTGCACCAAAGCCATAGGTTGGAGGAGCAGGAGCTGGTGTGCTCCGGAGCGGTGCGGCCAACCCTCCACCAGCTCCAGACGCCAAATCTTGGTGGCAGGGAGGGCACCCCACTGCCTGTTGCCCCAGAGCTGTTCCCTGGCAGGGGAGGACAGGCATTAGGCCCCATGGTGCCGGGGTGTTCAGAGAGGCTGAGGAATAGAACAGTGTGTGTAGGGGCTTGGGGCAGCGGGTTCTGGAGTGTCAGATGAGGTGGAGGACAGGGGAGGACAGGGGTGTTAGTGCCCCCACTTCCTGCCAGGGCCCCAGTCCAGCCACAGAGTGGCTCAGAAAGGCCATTAAGAGGGCTGCGGCCCTCCCTTCTCCCTTGCCCGTGCCCCTAGAGCTGCCTCTCGGGCAGGGCGGCACCACTGCAGCAGAGGAGCCTGGCCTCTGGGAGTCAGGCAGGAGGGGCCTGGCTAGCCAGTGCTGGCTCCACTGGGCAGGGAGCCCTGGACCCCCAGGTATGAGGAGGGGGTGGGCTTAGGGTCCTGTTCCAGGTCCGTCCCCCACCTATCAAGGCCCGAGGCAGAACTTGGAATTCAGGCTCACCTGCAGGCCGAGGGGTTCCCCAAGCAGGTGCTGCTCACACAGGGAGTTCAGGCGCCAGCCAAGCCCCTGTCCTTCTGTGGTAGGCCTGCTTCACTTAGGGAGCGCTGCCTCAAGGCAGATAAAGCTCCCTTGTTTGCCCCTACACCCATGGGGGCCTCTCGAGAGAGAAACTCCCGTTCACCCCTTTCCCAGGGCACTCACTCTCTAGGTGGCATGCCAGCCCCCACACACAGGTGGCTTTTGGGCCCAGGTGGGTCTGCCTGCTGCCCCTGCCCTGTACCCTCTCAGGCCGTTGGGACCCCTGCCCTTCAGACGTCCAAGGGTCTAGGAGTGGGGCCAGTCACCATGGGAAGAGGCCAGGGGCTTGGCAGGAGAGGCGGCCCAGGTAGGACCCAGTCCTGAGTCCAGAGCAGGGCCAGGGAGGCGCCCACCCCGCCCCGGCCAGCCGCCCTCTCTGTTGTTTCTTCTATTTGTTGTTCTTTTCACCCACAGCCCTGTGTTCCTGTCATCCCTCCTTTCAGCAAAAGTCCTGTTCCCGTTCCCTCTGTCCCCACCCACTCCTGTTCCCCAAGAAAATAAGCTATCGTTGTTGTATTTGCAATCTATGGATTAGAGGTTTAAGTATTTATTATTATTGGTTAATTATTATTAATTATGTAAATTTGCCTCCTGTCTGTCTGTTGCATTGGGTTTCTGAGGAGACCCTGGGTGAGGAGGATGCACTGGCTCCCCGCTTCTCGCCCCCCACCCCTGTGCTGTCCAGGAGGCAGTGGTCTGGGGCCACTGGTTGGGCCCCCCTCCTCCCCTTCCCTTGTCCCTTCTCCAGGCTGTGGGGGGGGGGGGAGTCCTGTCTGTCTCAGTCTGTCTCTGCTCCCACTCTTGAGGCACTGGTCACCCCAAAGTGAGCTGCCAGGGTGGGGAAGAAGGTCCTGTGTTGACCACTGCCTCCTCCAGTGCTGCGGGAGGCGGGCTGGGGCCCCACCTGGTGGCTTTCTCCCCACTGGGCCCTGAGTCCTCTCCAAGCCTCTCCCTACCCCTCTCACCCGGCCACTGCCTGGCTTTGGGATCGCCCCACAATGGACCCGGCCCCTCCTGTTATTTGCTGGGAAGTCCAGCGGAGGAGAGGGTGCAGGTCCCCCGCCGAGCCTCCAGTCTCTGTGGACTGGGCTGCCGGCCCTTCCGCACCCCCTTAGAGCCCCTCCCGCCGCGGCTGCACCTTCCGCTCCGGGCCCCTCCCTTTGTATTTGGAGACAATGTGTTGTAATAAAGCTTAAAGTGGATGTTTTCCCCACGACTCCCTGCCTCTTCCTTCAGACTGGCGGTGGGCAGGGTGGGGGCAGAGGCTGCTGGGAGGCAGGCCTGAGGCCAGGAGCTTGTGTGTTGGGCCTGGAAACTTGCCCCAGGCTCACACCGTGGGTGGGCTCAGAATAGTCCCTGAGGGCCAGGCATGGGCACAGGTCCTCAGCTGCACCCTTAGGGTGTAAAACACACTTTTTTGGTTGTTATATGCTACTAAAAGCTTAAATAACTTGAAACAATATAAAATCTCAGTGTTACCCACAACTCCCCTCACTCCCACAGTCCCAGTGTGAACAGCTAGAGGCTTCCCTCCCGGCCCCTCCATGTGTGCTGTGTGCATGTGTGTGGGTGCATGTACGTACCAGCAGAAATAGGGGTCTAGTTACGTTTAGTGTCTCCAACCAGCGTTTTTTTGTTTTGTTTTGTTTTGTTTTTAGATGGAGTCTCGTTCTGTGATCCAGGCTGGAGTGCAGTGGCGCGATCTCCACCTCCCGGGTTCAAGCAATTCTCATGCCTCAGACTCCCAAGTAGCTGGGATTACAGGCATGTGCCACTACACCTGGCTAATTTTTGTATTTTACTTTAGTAGAGATGGGGTTGCACCATGTTGGCCAGGCTGGTCTCAATCTCCTGACCTCAAGTGATCTGCTTGCTTTGGCCTCCCAAAGTGCTGGGATTACAGGTGGGAGCCACTGTGCCTGGCATCCAACTAGCTTTTCAAATCTTAAGTAATGTGCACATCATACAAGGATCAAAAGGACACCAGGGTATGTGGTAGAAAGTACTGGTTTGTCTCCCCCAGGCTTGTCCCCAGCCTCCAGGGTCCTCTCCCTGGAGGCAGCCCCAGCCAGACCTGCAGAGCCCCCCACCCCGAGGGCAGACCTGGCTGCTGCAGGTGCCACAGGCTGCAAAGATTCACAGTGTGCGTGCAGCCTGGAGTGAGGCTTGTCTACACTGCCGTGGAGGATACCAGATATGTCCTCACCACACAGACCTCTGGTTCATGCAGCTTCTTCCAGGTTTAGTATACCTATCCCAGGGACCCCTCCCAACGAGTGACGTTGTCCAAACCATGTGTGTGTGAGCGCTCATGAGATGGGAAGAAGAGGAAGCAAGACAGGGGAAGAGGAGGGGACCAGCCCCTCCTTGGGGGCTGCAGGAGGAGGTAGGGTCCTTGAATCCTGCATCTTTAAGAGTCCTCAAAAAGGAGGAAAGCTAGAAACATAGTCTGATGCTCCCACAAGGCTATTTTTGGCTCAAGAACATCTATTTATAACTCTGGCAGCCCCTAGCAGTCAATAAAACCGAGGCCTGGAAAGAGCTGATGGCTGACTCAAGCGGCACTGAGGTGCTCCCCTACCCCTTGTGCACAGGAGCACCTGCAGCTCCAGGAGGTGGGTGACAGGGCCTCTCCTAGGATGCCCATCTGGGGCACATAGGTCTCAGGACCCTGGGGGCAGTGTAAGACTCCAGATGGAAGGAGGGGTCTCATTTACCAACTCAATCAGGCTCCTAGAGGTCCAAGAGCTGCCCAAAGTAGGTGGTAAAGCAAGAGTGAACACTGGTGGACAGCCTCCAATTGCTACAGAGTCCCCTAAAGGCTTGATGCCCTGTCTGCACTTGTGTCTCCCCCCAGGACAAGAGCTTTAGTTGCTGGATAGGTCTTGGATGGGTAGGTAGATGGGTGGATGAGGGAGGGAGACATGGATGGATGGATAGGTGAATTTATGGATGGGCAGATGGATGAATGGTGGATGAATGGATGGATGGGTGGATGGATTATGGATGGATGGCAAATGGATGAATGGGTAAGGGATGAGGATGGGTGGGTGAGTGTGAGCAGATGGAATCAGATGAATGGGTAGAGGGATGAGTGAGGTGGGTGGGTGGAGGTAGACGGATGGATCGATGAATGGGTGGATGGGTGGGCAGATGGATGAATGGGTAGATGGATGAGTGGGGTGGGTGGATGAATGGATCAACAGGTGGGGGATAAGTGGGACATGGATGGATGCTGTTGGTGGATGGATGGATGGATGGATGGGCAGATAGATGCAGACCAGGTGGAGGGGATGAGTGGGGGTAGCTGCGGTGAGCCGGATGGATGGATGGATGGATGTTAGTGGATTATGGATGATGGATGGATGGATGGATTATGGATGGATGGATGGATGGATGGATGGATTAGGATGATGGATAGCGGAAATGGATGAATGGGTAGAGGGATGAGAGGGGATGGATGGATGGATGCAGATACTGTAGTATGAGTATTATAAATAGACAAGTGGATGGGTGGCTAGTGAGTAGAAGGACAGGAAGGTGGACAGATGGATGGATGGGTGGATAAGTGTATGCGTGGATAGGAGGAGTGGATGGACTACTGGGTAAATGAGAGGGAGGAGGGAGCGGCGAAGGTGGGTGGGTAATAATATTGCATTAGTTGCACTTCTGTTAGTCTTATATTAAAGCTGTGTGCTCCATTCTCCATTGGACTGCAGACGGCCACCTGGTCTTTGCATACAGAAGGCAGTGAATGTCCAATGAATAAACCCACATAAGCCACATACTAACTGTCTTGGAGGCGGGACATCAGAGGAGAGACTCCAGGGAAGCCCAGGGAGAGGGAACAGGCTTGGTCAATGTCCTTAGGGTCGCCGAGGCCACGCGTTGGGCTGGGCAGTTCCTGTAGTCTCTCCAGGCACCATTCCTCTGCCTGCAGCGGGAGGTCCCTGGAAGTTTATGGATGGATGGCAAATGGATGAATGGGTAGAGGGATGAGGATGGATGGATGGATGAATACATAAATGGGTATTTATAAATAGACAAGTGGATGGGTGGCTAGTGAGTAGAAGGACAGGAAGGTGGACAGATGGATGGATGGGTGGATAAGTGCGTGGATAGGAGGTGGATGGATGGGTAAATGAGAGGGAGGGAGGGAGCGAAGGTGGGTGGGTAATAATATTGCATTAGTTGCACTTCTGTTAGTCTTATATTAAAGCTGTGTGCTCCATTCTCCATTGGACTGCAGACGGCCACCTGGTCTTTGCATACAGAAGGCAGTGAATGTCCAATGAATAAGCCACATAAGCCACATACTAACTGTCTTGGAGCGGGACATCAGAGGAGAGACTCTCTCCAAGGCCCAGGGAGAGGAACAGGCTTGGTCAATGTCCCTTAGAGGGTCACGGGCCACGTTGGGGCTGGGCTTGGTTCCTGGTCTCTCAGGCACCATTCCTCTGCCTGCCGAGCAGTCCCTGGAAGTGAGCTGGAGGCTGGTCTCAGTGGCACCCCTGCCAGCTGCCACTGTACTCCTGTGGATGGACTTATCAAGGCCCTTCCAGGGCTCAGAACTGAAGAGACTCTGAGCAGGAGAAAGGGCTGAGGGCCAGTTCTCAGGAAGACTTCCAGGAGGAGAGAGAGTTTTGGCCTCTGAAGGCCAGGTTGTGTTTGGAGGGGCTGGGGGCAGGTGGGGCAGGAGGACGTTGCAAAGGTCCACAGCGTGGGAGAAAGGGCAGAGGTAGGAGCACCCTGCGGGGAGCCAGGCAGAAGCTGAAGGCCTCTGGCCAAGGCAAGGCCTGATGGGAAGAGGGTGCAGCTCGATGGAGCTCTGAATGGCAGGTAGGCCGCGGGAGTGTCTGAGATGAGTGGTTCTTTGGGGGCAAGATGAAGGGAGGACTTGCTATTAAGGGGAAGCTATGGAGTCTTTGAGGGGCCTATACAATGGACACCAGCAGAGGGTGCCCCTACCTCCCCGGAAGGGCACAGGGCACGGGGCAGGACCTGGACAGAGGGTGGGAGAGGAGGGACTGATTAGGAGCCTCTCAGCAGAGCTTCACAACAAACGCCTTGTATCGGTGGTGGGAGCACATGGGGAAACTCAATTATCCCTGCAGGCAGCTGGGGCTCCGGGGCGCAGTCCCTCCAGATAAAGCACAGCCTTCTGGTCCGGGGTGAGGGCCAGAAAAAGCTACATACTATCTTGGAGTGGGACATCACAGGAGAGACCCTCTCCAAGGCCCAGGGAGAGGAACAGGTTTGGTCAATGTCCCTTAGAGGGTCAGGGGCCAAGCTGGGACTGGGCTTGGTTCCTGGTCTCTCAGGCACCATTCCTCTAGACCTCTAAGGCAGCCCACAGTCCCAGGCCCCACTCCTGTCCCTGAGAATAGGGCTCCTGGCTTAGGAGCCTCTGTGGAAGACACTAGGCCCTGAAGGTGTGATGACGGCTTGTGAAACGAGCGGACCCTGACTGTGAGGACCAGAGCTTAGAGGGGATCCTGGTGGGGTGAGGGGAACATGCGTGTGCCTCCCACCCCCAAGCAGGGTGATGCCAGGGCAGGACTTCGCCAAACACTAGGCAGGTGCATGGATGGACGCCCTTGGGTCCTTCCAAACTGAGCAGGGAGACTTCTTGCTTCAGAACCTTTCAATGTTCCCCTCCAGAGGGGCTGAGATGGGGGTGGCCTCAGGCAGGGAAGGGGTATGGGAGCTGAACTGGAGTTGAGTGAGAAGGCTGGGGAGACAGAGGCCTCAGTAGGGGGTTGAGAGGAGAGGAACTCAGTGAAGGACCTTCATTCTGGAAAGTGGGGGGCAGGGGACGGGTGCTAGGCCCAGGGGCATCTCTCCCAGTCTTTGCAGACACCACCGTGAAACCAAGGAATAGTGGCCTGTCCCCAGGGAGCTCCCAAAAGGAAGCTCTGGGAAGGAAAGGGGAAGACGCACTTACCCCTTCCCCGCCAGGAATTCTGCTCTCCCCACCAAGTCCAGTGCCCTCCCACTTTGCCCCAGCACCTGCACCCTCAAGCCTGAGAGCACCTGCAGAAGGCACTCCGGCCCCCCACACACCTGGGGCCTCCGACCAGGACCTCGCAGGGCAGGTGACTGCCCGGGAAGGGTAGGGGGATGTGGGGGGACTGGTGGCACCGATGGCATCGCCAGTCGAAGCCTGCCCCTGACTGACGCAATTGCCTGACCGTCGCAGCTATAAATAG